TCCCGAATCCTCTGACACAGCCTTCATTAGGTGTGGGCAGATGCAGAGCTCAGAGGGGCTGCAGCAATGCAAGCTTCTTTACTTTTCTGTTGTTGCTGCCAACTTTTAGGATCTGCATAACGTGTTCTTATCCTGAAAAGAATCCTCTCGGGTTTTTGAATCTCACCCTTGCGTGGAGTTTGGTCCTTTAGAAAGTTTATCCTCCCATATGGCGGAGGAAAGATAAGCAGTCTGGGCTGTGGACTTGGAAAGCTAGCCACGAGGAGCAGCTGCCCAGACCCTACAGTGTGGCCAGAAAGCCCCTGAGGTCCCAGAGGTTTGAGCATCTAATCTCAGCAGATGGCCAAAGCTCAGTGCTAATGGAGCCAGCGGTTTATATCTGAAGCAGTTCATTGTGAGCCTGTATTTAAATAGTTTCTGTCTTTGTCTCCATAGAAGAAGCATGATAACCCCACTAACCTGTGCTCAGCTTTGGACTCTTCTGCCCGTCTTCTGTTCCCTTGCTTCATCTCTACTAGGACTCCTCATCTGCCCAAGAGCACACTCTAGAAAACCAAATCATTTTTCCAGGTGTCTTTATCATTTCTATTTCCTCTATATTGGCTCTTCTTCTCCCTCCCAGAGTCCCTTGTGCTCCCTTTCCTAACAGATATCTTACCTATAGTGTTTTGTTTTGTTTTGTTTTGTTGGTTTTTTGAGAAGGTTTCCCTGTGTAGCCCTGGCTGTCCTGGAACTCACTCTGTAGACTAGGCTGGCCTCGAACTCAGAAATCCGCCTGCCTCTGCCTCCCAAGTGCTGGATTAAAGACGCGTGCCACCACTGCCTGGCCTATAGTTCTTGAAGTTTCTTTTTAATTGTTTTCTTACATTGTTACACTATTTTTATTAAACTTTATTATCAATTTTCAAGGACAGGAATCCTGTCTCCTTCTTCAAGAAGCCATTTAAGGAGACAAGCTGTAGTGAAAAAGAGATGTGCTCAATGTGCCTATGTTGGAAGAAGGGCAGAGGAGTCTAGTAATGCCCCTGGACCAAGTCCACCCTTGGGAGTCCTGACTTGAAGTCTAGGTTTAAACAGAAAGCAAGAAGAATCCATAACCACAGAGTCATGTTCAAGGAGTCCCACCCATACTTGTCTCAGCTGCAGTCCTCCCTGAAGGTGGTTTGCTAAGTTGTCAGAACTGTGTGACATCACTTTCCAGGAAACAACACATTCCTTCTCGGGCTGGTACCAGGCTCCAGCCTGTTCCTTCTCCCAGCTTGATATTCCTAGAGAAATTTCATCTTATTGAGTAGTCTGAAAGACAAAGATAGGCACAGTGTTTCTTTAGAATTTCTTCATTCCTGACACACATGTAGAAAGAACTAGAAAAGTAGCTGTAAGCTTCCTTAGTTTTAAATGAGTTGTGGGTATGTATACTGTGAGAAAATATGGAAGCCAGAAAAGGGTTCTGGATTCCTCTGAGCTAGGGCCAAAGGTGCATGTAGGGCTCCTGGCTTGTTATGTAGGTAACAGAATGTGAACTCTCGTCATCACGATTGTGTGAAGAGTGCTCTTTTAAATCTATGATTCCAAATTGGACCAAGTGGTAAAAAAAACAAAAACAAAAACAAATTATTATTCTATCCAGTCATATGGGACCCCAAACTACTTCATTTCCAGCATCCCCTGCCAATAGCACAGATTTCAGGGCAGACTAAAAGCCTTCCTTCTCTGCCTTTGATTCTCTGCCAAAAAAGCAAGTTGTAATAGCTTCAGCCTTCGTACATACCATATCCTGAATAATTAGCTTTTCCTGGGACTCATTTGAGTGATCTTTGTTTACCTCTACATTCTTATTAAGCAAAGTCATCCAGCGGACAGCCCTATCTCACATCTAGAACTTTCCAGCAAGCCGGATGGTTGCTCACGCCTTTAATCCCAGCACTTGGGAGGCAGAGGCAGGCGGATTTCTGAGTTCGAGGCCAGCCTGGTCTACAGAGTGAGTTCCAGGACTGCCCAGGCTATAAAGAGAAACCCTGTCTCAAAAAAACAAACAAACAAACAACAAAAAAAAAACGAACTTTCCAGCAGCATATAGACAAGCATTCATGAAACCAAACCAGCTATACAAAATGTACCCAGCTCTCATTCTTAAATGTAGACAGATAGCCAAAGTCACTAGACTTGGAAAACCAGCGGTGCACAGAAAACAGAACAGAGCAACCTTGGGGGACGTGCATCTTTCAGAGACCAGGAACAAGCTTTTGAAAAAAAATTTAATTAGATCTTCAGTGAGACTTAAGAAGACATTACAGCCACAAAACCCAGAGCAGCAGGCTGTGAAAAACAAGGGACCGGGAAACATCTCCCGGAAATAATTAGAAATGAATTGCTGAAATTAAAAAGATTGGAAGATGAATTCAAGAAACTATATGAACACCGTGTAGAGAGATAGTCTGTAGAGCAGAAGAGAAAAACTAGGTTAAAAACGTAACTTTGTATGGATAAATGGTTAGGGGTGGATACCTCTCAGCCATGGTCTTGGAGTAGAAGGTGGTGCTGGCTGGAGCTATGAGCTGCGTGTCCCATGTGTATTAGTGCTTACCGAAACAATCTGAGACTCAACAGTCCTCTTTTATAAAACCTCCCACGTATCTGTCCCAAGTGAAAAGGGGCAGGAATCGGTCTCTAGCCACATGAGGTCTCCCAGCTTCGCCAGGCTCTGTTCTCTACCCTTGCTTCCTTATTGACTACAGTTCTGCCTCACTCCACTGCGGGCCAGGCTGTACAGTGCAGACACAGGAGATAGGGGGTCAGCTGGGGACGGGGGTTGGTTGTAGCTAGGATGAGAGGTCAGCTTGAGATGGGAGTTGCCTAAGACTGGGTGTGTAGGCTAAGGATGTGGAGTCAAGTGAAGCTTTGGGGTCTGCTGGAGCTGGGAGTTAGATTTTGCTGGCTTCAAACACATTTTGGCCATGTTCTAGTCTGAAAAGGCATCAGGGCTTTCAGGAGACTGAACTGAAACACCTGTCATGCCGAATACTTAGAGCCCTTCCTGAGCATCCAGTGCTTGATGGATGGATTCTGACTAGTTAACAGAACTAGTTCTGTTTGCCTCACCTCAGTTTTAACTCTCCTTTGGTGAGTTTTACACTTATAACTAAAAACATTTTAAAATCATTAAGCTCTTGACTGTATGAGCAAGATGCTCTCAGATTTCCCCAAGGTCCTCCATTCTGACGAGAAAGATGGGAGTGGGAGTATTCCTGTATTATTATTATATGTTGGCTAGCTTCAAACTTACAGCACTCCTTCAGCCTCAGACTCCACAGTGTGTGTCACCATGTCTGGCTTCCTGTAGGTAATTTTGAAGGTGTATGTATTGGTTCATTTATAAGCCATGGGCAGCTCTGTTCTTTGGGGTCTCTATGCCTCAATGGGCTTTGAGAACATTTTTTTTCTGTTCTCCACTGAAACTCAATGTTTGCTTCTGTGAGACTCTCTCAGGACCCATCGAGCTGGCCCTTGTCTTCTAGATATCCAATACACAAGTTTGTCCCCGTTATTGCTGACCAGTGTCCCCTACTCCAGATTCTGAGCTCCACACTTGGTTTTACAATTCTAGCACTCTTCTGGGGACACATCTGTTTCATGAATAAACAAGTACAAGAAGAATACATGCTGAGTTTATTGGTGAACAGAGTTTGTGTCGAGCGAGAATCAGCATTCTTGAGAAAGTACCTGTTGTGTTCCTCTTGTCACAAAAGATGTGGCAGGGAAGTCACCATGTAGCATTGGGGAGGGGTGACCTTCCGGTCTGGAAAGTTCCTAGCACACAGATCAGTGCTGTGAATCTACTCATAGGAAATACTTGAAGTCAGTGGCCCTTCTACAACTTAATGCTGTGCTTCTGTCTCATGCAGTTGGATGTGATTCCCTCTGGGATCTAACAAGTGGGACTCCTGGATTTCCCTCCTTTCTTTGTTTGTAAATTAAATCATCTGGTCCAATACCTCATTCCTCTCACTCAGTGGGAAAGAAACATCAAAACAGTCGTACATGAAGATCAAAAGAATTGTCAAGAGTTACAAAGCAAATGGAAAGGCCTTGGAGATTTAGTCAGTGGCAAAGCACGTGTAAGACTCTAGCAAGCATAAGACTCTAGGGTCAGTTCTCAACATGGGGGTGGGGATGGGATGTAGGTGACAATATCAGAAAGTAGAAAAACCAGCTTAGAAGTCAAGGGTCCAAAATTCAAGACTAGCACATCATGACTGTGAAGTAAAAGGAAGAGGGGCCTGGGGTATGACTCAGTTGTTAGGGTGCTTGTCTAGCATGCTAGCTCCCTAGCATAGCCAGAGACCAGCGGTAGTGGCATATGTGCATAACCCCAGCAACTGGAAGGTGGACGCAAGAAGATGAGAAGTTTAAGATTATCTTTGAGTTCCAGGGCCAACCTGGGATACATGAGAGTCTTTCTCAAGAAAAGAGAAGAGGAGAAAAGAATGCATGCACATTGGGGGGTGGGGGTGGGGCGAGAAACATTCCAAACAGCCAATAAATATTAACAATTCTCATACCCCTTAGTAATCAAGGAAATTAAAATCTTAATGAGGACAAGGCAGCTCTCTCTTGATGCATCTTGGGTTGGTGACCATGGGACTAGACCATAATGACACATGGAGAGGAAAGTTCCCCGGCCATTTACTGAAGGTATCACAATAGGACAGGTCGCTTGGCTGTCAGCATTGTCTCTGACACAAAAGAGATGGCTGTGGCAGAAGAAGCACCAGAGTCTACAGCAGTATCTATTCCTAAAGGCAGGAGAAATGAGGCACCTTAGACTGCTGGGTACCAGCTGCCATCTAGACCAGTGGAGATGGCGCCTGGAGTGGAGTGGAGTGGAGGAGACCCTGGTTGGCATGGGAAATTCAGAGCCTGGCCTAACATGAATAGCCTGAGGAAGGAGAGGGGCCATGGCCCAGAAGGATCAGGAAATGTGGGTAGGAGGAGGGGGCTCAGGAACAGAGCAACAGGCGCAGAGAGAAGGCTGTGAGGGTGTAAGACATCTGCCTGGCTGAGGCAGAGCTGGCAAAATGGAGGGCCACTTCCACATTGGGGTTGCCGTGGGTGGGCTCAAACCACTTCTGCAGACACCGCCCACTATTCCTGTGCTCAAGACTGGCCTTGAATGTGTTGTTCCAGATCTTGTCACACAGGTCATCAGGGGTCGGGAAGTAATATGAGAAAGGGGGTGCATATACTGGGCAGCGGTCCATCCCTGTGGGGATCGAGGATGGGCTCCTAACTCCCCACTGTCCCTTCCCTTCTGAGCCCCATGCATCCTCACCCAGGCTGAGGACCCACAAGGACCCAGTTAGTCCACTCACCCTGACTCCAGTCCCAGCTGTTGAGCAAGTCCGATTTACAAGTGCGAGATGAGTGGCAGGCTTTCCACCATTCCTCACAATCCTCCCGGCACCGTGGCACTTCCCGAACCGGCTGCTCTTCCTACTTGTTTGGGACCACCTGGGTGCAGGAAGAGAGGGGCAGATTTTAATTCTTTACGGTGTCTGTTAAGTATTATTTCTTCTCTCTGTGTGCATGTGTTTCCATTCCGTAAATGCAGGCGACTATGTGTGTGTGTGCACGAGCGCATGAGTGCACGCACTCGTGCCTCTGCAGAGCCCAGAGAACAACCTCACATATTGTTCTTCAGGCACCATGCACACTGGTTTAGATTCTCTCATTGGCTTAGAGCTGACCAAGCAGGCTAGGCTGGCTGGCTAGCAAGCTCTAGGGACCCACCTGTCTCTGCCTCTGCAGTGCTGGGATTACAGCTGCACGCCTCCACAGCTGGCTTTCTTATGAGGATTGAACTCAGGTCCTCATGCTTCTTTGATAAGCACTTTACTGGCTGCGCCAACTGTCAGCCCTAGGTATCAGTATCATCATCATCATTATCACCATCATCATCATCGGATAAATGATCGTCCTCTTCATCCCTGTCTCTGCTCCTATCCCTAGAGGGACATCATCTCCTGTTCCTACTTGCCTCCTGTAGATGCCAGCCTAGGGTTGAATGGAAGGGTGTTGCATGGGTCTGCCTCCTGTCTCCTCACTGGCTGGACCCAAGGTCCCAGGTTGGGGGAACACTCAAGGAAGCAGAGGGCCTGAGTGAAGTGCTTTTGACAGTCCTGGGTCAGCAGTTCACAGTGCACTATGCTGAAGTCCAAGAGCCAGGGCTCATCAAGATGGGCTTCCCAGCTTGTGGAGTGTGTGCAGCAGGCATTGTCCTTCTAGGGTATGCACTGGGGTGGGAGCAGTAGCAACAGGCTGTGGGTAAGAGGCTAGGGTTGGGTGTCTTGGGCAGAAGGATATCAGGAGAGGGTACATGTGAGCACCTCTGTAGAGGAGGGACTCTAGCATCTGTCAACATGTATCTGAAGAGTGGGGCGCACCCTATCACTGAGCTTCTGCCCTTCTGTCTTCCTGCCACAGAATATAGCTTCCTGGTGTCAGCTCCAGGGGGTGCAATAAATCCAGGAAAGCAAATAGAAAGAAGATTCAGGAAGCTGGGTCATTATAATGGGTGGGAGGGACTTGTAGTTGGAATGCTCCTTCTCCCTCAGCCTTTAGGAGACTGACAAGGACACAAATTAAGGCCTGTCTCATCAGCCCATGTTGGCAGGAAGCCTTGCTCTGACCCATGGTAAACTAACATAGCCACCACATATAACAGTACCACCGCTGTTTCCCACGCAGCCAGAGCACCTGAGCAGCAAAACCCTAGATGGATCCCAAACTAAGGAACTGAGTGATCAGGGGTGATGGGGTGCAGACACCACCTTGCCTGTATTCCTTCCTTAATAATTCCTAAGAAGCTTCCTCAGCCCCTGGCCAGCTCTGTTCTCTCTACCTCCCAGCAGAGCTTGTCTTCTGGGCCAGGCTCTTGCTTGTGGCGCTTGGAATTCATGCAGATGTTGAGTAGCTTGTCCCCCATCAAGGTGGGCAGGACTGTCCACCACCCCAAGAGGATCTGCCACCATTGTGCCATGACCTGCTGCAGAGAGGAGCCCATGATAGAGAGAACAAATATTCTCAAAGACAGAGAAGGTAAGACCCACTCCACTCTTGCCAACCATCAGGCATTGAAGAGGGACTAGGGCCTCCAGGGCTCCCTTAGGTTGCTGAAACACTCTGGCTGCTCCTAGAACCTTCTGTGTAGGGCAGCATCACAGAATGTAGAATAAGACTTGGATCTGACACTCCACGACAAACCACTGCAAAAAATGTAGAAACCAAACTGAGCAACAGGGGGAAAGAGAAGAAAAAGAAAAATCAATCAAACAAACAACAACAAAACAACAACAAACAGCAGCTCTGAAGAGGAGAGCAGGTGGGGATGGTACCAAGCTGTTCACTCAGATGCCACTCTGCTAGCTCAGGAATAGTTTAGAGGTTTGGTCCCAGCCCACAGGCAGCCTCTTGGCCAAGTAACCAGTTCCCAGTAAGCGGATTCTCCTTATGGCCAAAGGACATGGCGGGGCGGGGTGGCCGAGGCCAGCTTACCTACCAAGTGCCAACCCTAATTCTATTCCCTAAGAAGGGTCCACACCAGGCCCATGGCTCCCGAGTAGCTCATCCCTGTCCCTTCAACCAATGAGCTTTCCTTAGCTGATTTCAACTAACCTCAGTCTATCTCAGAGACACACTGTCAGGCTGCAATAGACAATGCTAAGACCCCTGCTGGCCTCTCAGGGCTGGGAGCACATTCAGGCATGAGGAGCTGAGGAACCTTCACCCTTTAAGCCCTCACCCTAGCACAAAACATGGAGGCTGGCTTGTACCTTGGTGTTTGCTGCTATATTTCCAGTTCTCTTCTGGGTTGTACTGACAATGGGTAGAGGGTGGAGAGGTTGGACAAGGAGACACCAACCCCCCCACACCCACACCCACTACCACTACCCCGTACCCCCCCACCCCCCGCCACCACAGTCCCCTTGGCTAGAGCTAGGGCACACCCTGCTTCAGGGGGGCTTCAGTCTGTCTTCACTGCCAGGTCTTCATGGCTCCTATGTCTCCTAAGGCCAGTTGGGAGCCTGCCTTACACACAGGCAGTTTTTAGCCTGAGTAGTCTACCTCAGGATGTCTGAAATGTAGATTAGAGACCCAAACTCTACTGCAGGACTCACCCTGAATTCTAAACCTAAGGCTGTTCTCCCACAGAGCTGGCTCCAAGTTTGCACAAAGAATAACTATTCTCAAAAACCGGGAAGGTAAGATGAAGAGAGGAAAGATTTCAGCCCCCTCAGAGTAGTCTTCAGACGTAGGTAGGTTCAAGACAGGGCCCTCTGTTTGCTCTTCCTGGCCCCAGAGAGGTGAGCAGGCTGAGGGAGCTCCACCCACTGGCCTTTTATCACCTTTCAGCTTCTAAGAGCTACAGGTGAGGAGAGCAGCAAGTCCACAGACTGGAGCAGCCTCCATGCCATCAAGAGAGAGAGAGAGAAACAAGAACTTGCAGTACCAGAGATTCCTGCAGTGGGTGGTAAGTTCAACTCTCAGCACCACTTCTAACCTGTGAGAATTTGGGAATCACTTAGATTCCATCAGTTTGTTGCTCTGTAATGGGAGCTGTTGGCAGGGACTGTCGGGGAAAGAGAGATCGTGAAAAGGTCATGCTGGGATCACAGGGATCAAAGGTCACAGGGATGTCTTAACGGTTCGTTCATCTTTTGTTCTCCGAAGCTCTCTGCCTCTCCAGTATTCCATGGGTCTCTTCCTCTGCTTAGCCCCCTGGGGCCCTAACAGCATCCTCCCACAGCATCCGGAGCCAGCTTAGCAGCACACAGGTGCACAGACCGGCAGCTTGGAGAGACAAGGATTTAAGCAACAATCAAAGCTGAAACAAATGCCGCCCCTCAGCGCCAATAGGGGCAACCTGCATTTGCATCCTGTGCCTGGTCTGACCACTGTTCCAAAGGTCCCTTTGGAGGCAATGCCGGTAACTTTGCTTGTCTTTTATGTTCTGTCTCCAAAGGAGAAGTAGCCCAAATCACTGACATTTCATACAAAAAAAAAATAGTAAATAAATAAAAACACTCCTTGTGTTTTCCACTGAGGAAGACAAAATACAGCACACGATGTTCAGCTGCCAGTCAATGTACAAAGCATATTAATCATGTGCAGGGAAAATGGCAGTTTCCACACAGAGTACTGAACATCCATAAGGATTAGTCATGGGGCTGGAGGCTATTGCAAGGGTATACAGTCTGGCTTACTGCCTGAAGAATCCCCCAAACGAGCACTCTCTTTCAGATGTAGGAGAAACTGAGAGTGTGATAGAGCTGGAATCTGAACTAGGCTTGTTTGACTCCATAGTTAATGCGTATGGACCAGGTAAGGTGGATACCTCCAGGACTGAGGGGTAGGAACTGTCCAGATCTTAAAAAAGAAGTTAACCATCACAGACTGTGTGTGGTGGGGTGGGGAGTTGGGGGCACATGTGCTGGGGTGAGGGGGCACAGCAGTGATGGTTATCAGCCCAACTTCCATGCACTGTCTTCAACAGAGCTGAGACTCCCTTCCTGAAGTCAGACGCCAAACGGCATCTCTGCTTCGAGGATGCCTCTTTGTACCAGCGTCCACAGGGACAGCAGAGGCAGGTACTCACGGCTGTTCTGTATAGACACCCAGGGAGCAACAAGTCTTGGCAAGTAAGCAATTTGGAACATTAAGTTTAAAATGACTGAGGCTGTGGCAAGAGCGAGAATCCAGAAATGAGTCACACAAGTGACTGGAATGGAAAAATGTCCTCCACAAGGAGGGAGAGGGACAAGGAGGACCGTGTTAGCCACCTCCAGGACAAAGCTGTAGGAAATGAGTCAAAATTGCAGCCAGCATGGATGCAGGTGGAGCGGGGGAGGGGCAATTGCAGAGGCTGCCTTTCAGAGTGCCTCCAGGCCAGACATCTGTCCCTAGAGAAGCAGTGTGAGGCCCTTGAGCAGAGCTCATTTTGCCTTATTGTGTCCGAGTGGTCCAGAGAAACGTGTTTTCTAACTGAAGGCTGCTAAATCAGGACTGGCCGTGGATGGAACCACTCGAAGCAGCTGAAAACAACAACAGATTAAAGACCAGGGGAAGAAGTACAGCCAGTTTAAGGCATTGGTGGGGGTGGGGGGCAGTGAGTGGAATGACCTGAAGTCACAGGGACTCTGGATGGTGATGACTGTCCTGTCTTCCCACCGTTTGGGTTATCAGGTCACTCAAAGCAGTGCGTTTGCTAGGACATCCCAGGGTCTCTGAAGTCAGATGCCAGTGGCAAGGTCTGGGAGGAACTAAGGTCTCTTATTCTGAAGCATCCTCCTTACCTTGCTCCCCTGAATAATTAAAGCTCCTTTGGAAGTTTGTAGCTCCTGGCAGAGGGGCCCCATGCCTCTCACTCTTGGTTTGTTCATAGAAATGTGAGGTGCTGTTGACTTAACCTCCTGTTTCTTCCTGCAGCTTGGGTCATGCTCAGATACTTCAACCTGGCTCCCTGGTTCCTTCAAGGCAATACCCATGCAACAGTCAAGATGGTAAAACTCCCCAGGGCGTTACTATAAAATCTTCCAAATATAGGGAAAGTTGAGAGATCTTCAGAGTGGACACTCATCTCCAATTAGATTGTATATGTTCCGTTTTCCTTTTATGAGGGAGGGTGTTAGTCTGAGGCAATTGTCCATCTCTTTCTTGAGGGATCTGTCCCATGAGCATCTCAAGGAGGGAAATCATGTATTTCCAAGTAATTCAGGCACATCCTTAGCCAGAGTCCAGTATCTGTCACTCCAGAATGATCCTTTAAAAACATAAAAATGGTTGCCAGACACTCGAATTTAAAATCTTTGTATACATTAAGGTAGGTGTTTATGGTCTGTGTGTGGGCTCCCCTTTTAATAATTTTTTAAAAATTTATGTACATTGCTGTTTCATATGTCTGTATGAAGGTATCCAATCTTCTGGAACAGGGGTTCTAGATAGTTGTGAGCAGCCCCATGGCTGCTGAGAATTGGACCCAGGTCCTCGGGAAGAACAGCCTTAACCACTCTTAACCACTGAGCCATGTCTCCAGCTCCTCATGGGCCCTATTTAATCTAGTCCCCATTTATTTCTCTATTCTAATCCACGATCCATTCTTTCTTATTTTGAATTATTTATTGGTTTGTGTGTGTGACGTGGATAGGATGGGGATTTGTGCCACAGGGTGTGCCTCCAGGTCAGAGGACAACTTTATAAAATCGCTTCTCTCCTTTCACCTTTCCTTGGTTTTACTGACTGAACTCAGCTCTGTTCTTTTGCCTGCACTGCAGCGCATTTGACTTTTCTAACTCTGTAACTGCCCTGCTCCCAAAAGGTGGCTCCTTGGCAAGGCTCAGTCTCTCCCAGCCTCCTCAGCCTCAGCCTCAGCTACTGAGTCCTACTCAGTTCTGGTTCCCAGAAGGGACTGCTTGCCCCTGCCCACCAGGGAAGGAGCTCCATGGTCTCTGTGGTTCGGGGAGATGCTCTCTTGGGTATGATGTTTCTGCTATAGCTTTGTTTCCAGAGCTGCCTTCTGCCCTGTGAGCACTTGTCAGTCTCCCCCAGCCTCCCTTCTGTACATAGTTCAGACAGACACAAGCCTGAACCAGGGTGGATTGTCTGGGATGACCTACCTTTAGAAAGCAGCAACACTGATCCAGACAGCCTTCTGGTGTTCTATGACCAAGCCCGCCCTTCTTCTACTCTCTCCCTGCTTTCTGGTCGGCCTCTCAGACATCCTCTCCTGTCTTTTGAAGTATCTCCCATCTTCTCTCACCCTCTTTCTTTTTTTCTTATTTAATTCAAACCACGAGAGAACTGATTTCGAAAGGACAACATAAACCCCATTTGAATCCATTTAAAGACCAGCCCTGATTTTAAAAAGAAGGCCACAGGCACTAGCTCCAGGAACAGACCATAAAATCCAGAACAAGATCATTAAAAAACCCCTCCCAAAGAACAGCCTGGGGGTAACCACAAGAATGGGAAAATATCTTATCC